TTTAAATAGGAAGTGGGATTGAGGCCTATTCGGGGCTTGAGAAATGGCTGGGGCAAGCAAGAAGTAACCACACACAATCCAATAGAGAAGCATCAATATTGTTTGGTATGTCCGGCAAATCAAAAAGATACTCGAAGTCTCCGAGGGGGAAACACCAGATCTGGGGGCTCGATGAGTTGGGAAAAGGACAAGAGCTCCAGGCTTGCATCGCGGTCTGGATCTGCTGCGAGCTGGGGGACGCCGGGCGCCTCCGGGCGCTGTGCTATATTCTGAGGAAAGCGATTGGAAGTCTGACGATGTTAGAAATGGGAATTGACCATTTTTGTGAACAGAACCAACCGAAACCCATGTCGATTCCCCCCTCGCCTACATAGGGCGCTCCTCGAGTTTCCAGAAGTGAACAGTGTGAGAGTTACGCCGGCCGAATCGCGCACGGCGATAAGGTGCAGCTTCATCCCACTTTCAGGCTGACGGCCAGCCATGTCCCGCCCATTGACAGGAACCATGTCGAAGGCGAACGTCCCGTCGGCGTGCCCAACCTGGAACGACACCGTCACATTCACCAGAGTTTCCATTGGTAGTGTAGCTGGGGATGCAGATCTGCCGGTGCATAGCTCTTATGAATTGGTATTCCTAGCTTCTCGCTTCGAGACCGCTCTCGTTTCGGTCAGATATGGCCACCCGCAAGTTTCTAGTCCCCGTTTATACGAGCCGGCCGGATTTGCTTGTATCCCCTCCGGAAGAAGTGGGGCCGCTTCCCGCAACCGCAAGATTTTCAGGCAGAAGAGCAGGACAGGATGTAAACCACCAGCTGAAATTGCAAATATTGCAGAAATTGGAGAAGGTGTTGAGCTTGGGGAAGACTATATAACATTATGAAGCTACAGCTGTTTTCATTAAAGTGTACGGGTTTTGATCCAGTGGTGCTGTTCGATTTGTGCTTACCGTTGTTTACGGCTAGACATCATAACTCCACCGCGGGTAAATCCGAGCCGCCGACCATTTTCTTGTCGTACTCTTTCCCTCTGCCGATTTTGATATGAACTGTATGGATTGTCTCTCTCTTCGATGAAACTACTTGTACCGCTTTAGTAGTAGATACACTAGTTCAATTGACGTGATTTTTGGATATGCTATGATAACATGTATCCCGGAGTGCATGACGTCCTCGGATAGTCATTTCACGTCGCGCCTCGCATTTAGCATGGATTGGGAAAGCAGTTACAATTGGATCCTGAATTACATTTGAACCCTGGCATATATTTGCAAGCAGAGTAAGTGGAGCCCTCAGGGAGACATAGATACTGAAACGCTTGGCACGTGTTTAACGATGAACTTCAAAACCCAATCAACCCAACCCAACCAAATGCTGACCAGCAGCAATTAACCCAAAAACCCTAAACCGTCCCAATCCAAGTCCTTCAAAGTCCAATCGTCCAACACGTATGCGTAGCGCGCAAGTTCGGGGGTTCCAGTCAAAATATATGACTGTTGCAATTCAGTGAAATAACCGTACGTTCAACTTTGTCCAATAAACCGTCCCGTTTCGTCCTTGATTTCCGTTCCGTTCCGTACAGCAGGCAAGATTCCAACCAAACACAGCGAGAGTCCAGAAGACACAGGTGAGAAACCCTGGGCGTAGTATATCTTATCTCCTACATTTCAACACCATTTTATACCCTACTTGTTTGTACCAGTAAATACTTGTCATCTCCTGCAATCCCTGGTAGGAAATAACCGAGCGCAATCCTGCACCCATATATTTGAGAGACTTCCCATCCCAGAACGGGCAAGTCCCCGCCCAATTCGTTTACTAGCCTCATGGCCAAGGCTATGCACAATGTTCAACCATTGTCCCGCTGGCCATTTTGCACTTATCTCGTCCCCTATGACTCCTAGGGCCACGTTTCTGAGTCATATCAACTCGAAACACGCTTCAGAACCCCCTGTAACGTGTTTGAGCCCACTCGCGACGCGTTTCAACGATCTTGATGGCGACGATTTCCCGGTCACGTGATCGTATTTTCGCACCACCATTGTTCAATTTCCAGCAGCATTGTCCCTCCTCCATTGTCCCCGTTGCACAGCATACTCTAGGCTGCCCCATCGTTCTCATTCTACCCATTGTTCCTCGCACAGCCCGCATCCACAGGTATGCCAACGTTCTGTTTTATCTCAATTTTGTCGTGCTTGTGATGGCCGATCAGATTTTGTGATGGCCGATCAAATCATCGGCATCTTGCGGCACTTGTTCAAAATCACAAATTCTCCTCTTCTGGCATGTTTTCCTACAAGGGGAGCTCCCCTTTCAATACATATCATATCCAAAAATTAGGTGAATTGAACAACTGCATCTATTACTAAACCGGTTCTGCGTGGAAGTCTCGAACCCTTCCGGAAAAAGCAATTCTCACGCTCGTGTCTAATTCAGGGGTGCAGCGCCCTCTGGAATGGACTTTCAAGGTCATCAGAGGAGAATTGAGCCCGTAACAGTGGTTCTCGTGAACCATCAAAATTTGATGAAAATTCGGCCGCACCCTAAGTTCCGCAAGCAGCTGTAACAAGGTATGGGGAAACAGGAACATCCGACACTCAAAGTTGTGCAATCTACTCGTTCTCGACGAAAACCTTAGTCTAGTGTTTACCGCGGGCCTGTGTATGTAGTGCGCCGTTATTACATAATCTTAGGTAATCTTTTTCCGAGTCGCGTCCCATTGCACGGGAAACACAATTTTCAGCGAAACTTGAAGCTTTATGAGGCTTTATTATCTATCTCTAACTTTCTGTCAATTCAGAATTTTGCAACAAGCCCTTGAACCTGTGGTATCAAGGTCGCGGCTTTTGCAAGTGCTCGGATGAGTTGAAAACCACAAGTAGCGGAAAGTGCCCTTAAAATTAACAGAAAACTTTCAGGAACCTTCCAGATAATTTATATCTCAGTTCAACACAAATGAGTGTTCACGGAAGGTCATAGAAAATAAAAACAGTGAAAAAAGAATAAATGTTTGCTGTAATGTTCGAACCGCGAACGGGCTGAACTTACCTAAGATCACGTAATAAGAGAGCACTGCATACACGACCCCGCGGTAACTAACAGACTCTATACAGCGAGGTACGAGCGTTGGTATAGAGCGTCTGTCTACGAGAGACTACGAAAACCTGCAGGATGGTCACGCGGACTTCGTAGTCGGAAATACCGCGGGCCGATAAATTTGGAGTGTCTTCGCCCTTATCCTCATCCTCACTCATCTCATCATCATAATCCTCGCATTCAACGACCCGAACCGCCTTGAAATCGGGGAACTCAAATCAAATTGAATGTGAAACACCTACATCCAGACGAGCTTCCACAGCCCATGTCGGATTCTCTTGTAATCTCCCTCCCCCCCCAACAACTCCTTACGGGCTTGTTCCTCCAACAACGCAACCGCCCAGGCCCCTTGCCAGACCACTCCACGTGGAGAATCCAGCTCGCCTCCCGCAGTAGATCTGGGCTCTACATCTCTGGCAAGCTGACCAAGTAGGTCGGGGGAGAGACCGACTGCGCGGGGCTCTAGTTGACTCGGGTACCACTACCCTTCCTCCCAATCCCAATTCAAAACCCTAAATTCGAAGGGCGGACCAGTAAGTGGTCGGTGGATCTAGAAACAAGTCAATTTCGAGCGCGAGCGGCGGCTGTGAATGTCTCTCACGTATTTAAATTCCATGAATCGCTCGGGCCAGAGGTGGCGGTCGGGATGGCATATGCGCGTCAAAGGCGGGATGTTCCCTCCGGGGATGGCACCGTCTTCGGACGAGTATTCCATGGTGTGAGCGTGTCGCTGATAGACAAACAACATAGGTGCGGCTGGCGCATACCTAGGACAGCATTCGGTCCAACGATATTGAGCGGACGGCTGCGGCTTCTGCATAGGTGCGGATGTGCTCATCCCCATCGCCGGCACACCAAGTCCTCGGGTAGCCAGCCCAAGCGAGCGCCGAGAGACGTAGCCGAGGAGGTGGGGTGTTCACGGGTGCGTTTGTCGGGGCTAGTAAATGCCAGCAACAAAGTCCAAAGTAATGTGAAGCGCCAAGAATGTTGATCTCCTCCTGGTCGTTAATTCGATCCATATTAGAATAGACGGTATCAGAAAAGCGAGCGGGAGGAGGTTAGCAAGGCCGCAAATAATCCAAGCCGAACGCAAGCAGTACCAGCAAGGTCCAAGGGTGAGTAGCGGGAGGTGGGAAGAAGTTGGTCAGGTGGTCGGACTTTACGCCGATCGAACTTTATCTTCCTAGGGCTCTAACCCGTCCGTCCCATTCGACGGAACGGGTAAAAACGGCCGTTTTTTCTGCCACCCGTTCCGTACCCCTCCTGTCGAGGTGATTGTCCCAGGCACATACGGACGGGTCCATGCGTGCAACGGGTGACGGCCGTTTTCGACGGGTGTTGGGATCAATATTCCTCCTACCTATTTCTTGAGTCTAATTCCTTCTGTTTTGAGGTTGTGAATCACCTCTGATGAACAAATATGAACACCAGTGCTACGTTCCACATAAAAATGTGTTCTTGCTCACCCATGGTGTCAAATTTGTGGCAAATGGCAGAGATTGGCCCGAGATCAGAATCCAGAGAATGCCGGTTACCCCCGACTTAGGTTAAATCGGCAAGTAAATTGCTAAGTAAAAGAGTTTTCTACCGATTCCAGTCCCAAACTAACTTCGCTTCCGGCAACGGTTAAAGTCGGGGTCGATTTCCCCCACTCTATGGCCAGATGGACCTTGATGGCCCATCAATTCGTCGACCCGTTTCCGGACGGGTACGGGTCACCCGTCTACGGGCCCACCCGTCCCGTAACCCGTCCCGTCGCTGCAACAGCAGACTTTCGTTACGGACGGGGCCGTACCCGTAGAAACGGCCCGTCGACCCGTCGGCCACGGCCACGGGTTAGAGCCCTATATCTTCCCGACTTTGCCTTCAACAAGCTCATAAAACCAACCCACTCACACAAGAAAGGAACTCAAGCATGGTGTAATGGGAACACAGCCTCCTATTCTAGGAGCATCAAATGGAGATTGAGAGGCAGTCTAGGGTTCGAATCCCTGTTTCTGAATGTGGGTGTAGAACCTTTTTCGTCTCGCGTTATTTCATTTTCTCGCCGCCCCGCGCGGAGCGCACGGTTGAACCCGCTGCTGAGGGTTGAGTATCCAGTGTCCACAGCCCAAAGAAAGAACGAAAACCCCACTTTGTCAACAATTATTCAAACGCTAATAAGTATTCACACGAGCTGATAAAGCCATCTGGATGTACTGGAAAGCAATTCAGACATGGTGTAACGGGAGCACATACTCTTATTCTGGATCGACAGAAAGCAATTGAGAGGTAGTTCAGGGTTCGACTCCCTGTGTCTGAATGATGTTGGACAAACTATTTTCTCTCTCTTTTCATTCCTACAGTACTCATCGCACGCGGCGATATTACCTCACCAAGAACCCCGCTCACTCGGTGTACACTTCTCGAAAAAAAACTAACAACAGCCCTACATACTTGCACCTTGCACCTCCTTCCGCCCGTCTCGCCCGCACCTCGCCTCTCCACATCTCGGACCTACCTCACACCTACCGCACCACGCTACCCAGCCCAACCCGATCACACATCCCGGAATCATAAATCACAAATCAAAACCCCCGTTCGCCCTTGCTCACTTTCGTGCCCATTCGTGCTCGTCGGAGGCGATACACGTCGGCCGGGACTTGAGTTTATGAGCGCGCCGATTTGGGAAAGGCTGGGACGGATTTGCGAGCGCGGGGATCAGATTCGAGCCTCGAACTTGCGAGCGCGAGATTCGAGCCTTGGATTCGAGACGTGCGTCGTCAATTTGCGAGGGCTCGAATGCCTGGGATTTGAACCTGCATTTATTTGCGAGCGCGTGCATTTGCGAGACGCGAAGATTGGAGACCTGGATTGCGAGCACGGGGAGTCTGATTGTGATTTGCGATCGATCGATCGTGAGCGCGGAGTGTGAAAATTCGAGATGCGGGGGACTTGAGGGCGGGCACTGGCATTCGAATTCGGAGCAAAGCTGGGGACTTGGATTTGAGCGCCTGCATTGTGAATTGCGACGCGAGCGCGGGGATTCGGATGCAGGGCCTGGACGTGGACCTGGATGGTGGCGGTGAGAGACAGCGCGTGGAGACGACGCGCGCGCCAGCGGGGAGGGGGCGCGGGATGTCGCTTTGCATTTGCATTTACTGGCGCGAGGATTCGAGACTGTCCCGGACTTGATTGTGACGATGGCAGGAGTGCAGAGACGGCGTGCGTGCACCAGCGGTCAGGCAAGCGCGGAGAGAAGGGACGGGACGGAGTAGCGCGCGCGGGATGAGGGAGGGAGAAGCGCAGGAGAGGAAGTGCATGACGGAAGCGGATGGCGCTGATGGTGGGAAAGGGATACGCGGTGGGTGACGGCGATGGGCGCTGGGAGCCGGTGCGAGGGGCGAGGCGTTGGGGGCGAGGCGCGCGTTCTGCGAGGTGCGGGCGCCAGAGCGCGGAGAGGTAGAGGGAAGGATGCAGACGAGGATCAAGAGAAGGGAAGGAGGGATGAGGGTTGGGTGCGTTAAGAGGAGGGAGAGGAGCAGGAAGGATGGGAGCAACGCGGGTGGACATGGACGCGTGGCGCGGGATGACGGGGCGGGGATGAAGGGCGATGACGTGGGTAGAGGCGATGGAGCCAAGAGGCGGGCTTAGCGCGGGCGTGTCGATGGTTGACGACGCGACAAGTGGGACGTAGACGGTGCAATTGCAGGCCGTCCGGGGGAGACGAAAAGGACGCGGGGAAAGAAAGAGCCGAACTTGAACCGAACGCTACTACACAGAAAGAAGAGGACGAAAAGAAAAGTGAATGGATGGATGCCAGTGTGAGTGGTGAATGAGCGCCATGGGGAGGCGAGGCTGAAATCGATGCAAGAGGATGAGAGCCGCGACGGTTAGGGGCGTGCGATGGGACTCGAGGGCGGACGACGCGACCCAGGTCTACCGGAGTCTATACAGGTCTACCACGGGGTGGCCGGTGTCGGAGGCGTCGGAGAAGAGTGTTGAAGACGGCTCGAAGGACGTGGACCCAGAGAGGGCGGCCGCTTGGACGAGGGGCCGCGTGAGCGGGGTGTCAGCAGCATCGAGGTGAATAGAGTGGTGTAATCAGCGAGTTAGGTGATGGACGTCATTGATGTGGTATGGCGAGCCGATAGGAGCCGATGCCCACGGTTGCCCTCGACGGTGAGCTCGACGGTGAGCTCGACGCTGTCGTGGACTCGACGCTGCTCGGTAGGCCTCAGCAGCTGGGCTTGGCACTGACCTTAGCCTTATACATACCCGGCAAATTTGCTTCCAGGGCTACCCACGCTGCGCCGACACACGGCAAGGTTCAACCTCGGAGCTATGACGTTCACTTTGATTTATTATTCGCGCGCAACTTTTTGATCCGCGCACAACTTTCAGTCATTTTGCGCGCAACTTTTGATTTTTGCGTGCAATATTTTTTGATTGACTTCGCGCGCCAATATCTTGTCTTCCTACAGTCGACTCCCTCCTAGCCCATACCCCTCGGTGGACACCTCGGGGTATGGGTTATTAGGGCTTATGGGTTCCGAGAGAGTGGGAAAAAAAAATGCTGAAAATTCCCAGAAGACTATGTACCCACTAGGTCATCAGTAATTGACAAGTTGACTATTGCTCTAGCCTCCTCGCGACGTGTTTCGCGGCCGAATGTAGACCAAATGGCCTCCATCTTATGTGCAAACAGTTCGTCAACATCAGCAATGATCTTATGCAAAGTTGCGGCTGCCTGCAACACTTCTTTCCAGGTCGGTTTTGGCTCATCCTCTTCATTTTCGTCGCCTCCATTTAGCTCTCAATTCTCCTCCCCCCTGCACATTTTTTTCACCACTTCAAAAATTTCTTCGTCAGTTGCGTCCTCGATCACCTACTCCTCCGGCATTTGCAACAAATCCTCCATATCTACCATGTTTTCTTCTCCTCCTTTTTCAGAAGCTGTGTTAGGTCATCCTTTCGCTTTTTGACCTGTTCTTTGAATGCAGTAGACCTTTTTTAAGGAGTGCAGGAGACATGTGTATGCGATGAAAGGCTGGGAAAGTGCTCAAAAGGCGCACATCAGCCACTCCTGGCCAACGATGATGGCCGAATGACATGCTGGAGCGTGCCCGAAGCATCGTAAGGAAGCACACATTCATTTATCGCGGGGAACTATGGGTTATGAACCATGAAAACTGTATGGATTATGGGGTATTAGAATATTATGGGTTTTAATTGAGAACCGGGCCGGTGGATCCCTAAAAGTATGGGTTTGAGCAGATTATGGGTTTTGAAAGCTATGGGCTAGGAGGGAGTCAACTGTATTCCGTCTACATATCCAGGAGCCCACTATGAGATGAAGTTTGGACTTTCTTCAAGACCCAAAAGCTCCTGTTGACGGATGCATGACCAGCAAATTTAGGTTTTTTATGTACTTCGGCGGTTTGTGAAAGTTTATTCAAGGTTATTGAACCCGGGAGGATCGTTGAGTGGTGCACGTACCTCACCTAATTGTACTATTGTATTATTGGATGGCATGTGATATGAGCCATCAGCTGCAGGCCGCGTCTGGTTTGACCTGTTTACCTGACTCCCAGAGAGACCCAATGTTGGCCCGAAAAATTATTCCTAGCCTCTCAGCTAACATTAGTGGTATCTTAGGTCAACTTCTGTCGGTTTAATTGCTCCTCAGAAGTCCTCACAGTACTCACTTTACCGTCTCGAAGCAACACAGGGGCAACTTCAATATAACAAGGATGAAATTTGATCAAAACACCTCACAGCGGAAAGTTAATAGGTCGGCCCCAGTCACAGTGGTGCTTGGGCAAGTTTTGACGGGCCACTCGATTTTAGGGGTAAGTTTGGCCCTGTGTACGCGCCAGATCGCGCCTTAAGATCACCTCACGTGCGCCTTGGCGACCTGGACCAGCGGCTCATTCAAGACTGGATGCAAGCATGATCATCACCGGCACTGGCTGAAATCAGTCCGGCATCCCGGCCTCTCCCAATAAGGCAAGTGAAAAATTGCACGCGAACGGAAACTACGGAAAGTTGCGGGCAAATCAAAAAGTTGCGGAATAGGAAATGTACAAAGTGGACGTCATAGCGTCTCGATGATTATGACGATAAGTATGTCGTCTCGGAGCCTACATTTGACTTGAGAGGGAGGGAGATGGCGAGTTGCCGGGGCGTCAATTTCCCACAAAGGCGGGGACGTTGGTGGTTGGTGATTGAGAACGAAAGCTATGTGGTGTTTCTCGACGTGCAGACCGACTTCAAAAACACGTCTTTGGGAGGTAGGGCTGCCACCCGTGCCCGCGACGGGCACGGCCGTGGAATCGATGGTGTTTCCACGGCACGGGCCGTGCTTTTCACGGTCGTGGGGAGAGGTTCAAAAGTCCTGACGGGACGGCACGGGCCACGGCACGGCCGTTAACGGTACAACGGGTCTGGACGGCAGGGAAAAAACTGTTTAAGCACTATATACGACATGTAAAAATTAGCCCAGAATCTCGCGAATGGCTGTGCGAGCGAGGCGGAGACGTTGCTTGACGAGCATCAAAGTCCTGATCGTATCCGGCTTCAAGCTGGCGCGTCAGAGGGAAATTGTGTCGCGACCACCGGAAAAAATGCGCTCCACCGCAATGGCGGACCCTAGAAAGGTAAAAGACGTGAGTGAGGGCAAGCAAACCAATGACGGCCGGCAGGTCCATCTCATCGGATTCAGATTCGTAGAAGTCGATCTGAGATGCATCGAGGAGATTACCGGCGCTGTCGCGTGCACACTGGTCAGACGTACTGCACCAGGAAGGGAGAATGAATGTCATACAAAAAGCCCAGCACATTTTATACGCGTAGTCGCGCCACAAAACACCCGGAATTGTAATGAATATTACCCAAATTCCGCTGCGGAATGGACCGGAACAAAATAGGATTAGTTTTGAAGCTGGAGCACAAGGTAAGGGCGCGGCGAGCGGTGTAATTTCATTGATATTCCCGTTTGGGTAGCAGGGCTTTGCAGCGGGATAGACTACGGCCTTAGGTAGCACACTGGAAGCCAATAATTGAGGCTAATATCCCACCGAGAGGCCAGCGCAAACACGTCAGGAATAAGCTGGCGTTGTGGAGGTCATGAAGAGAGCCGAGTTCGTACAAACAAGGTACAAACAGGGACGGATCCAAAACGGATCTGATCTCCGCGCTGTTTCGGGAAGGCGGTACACTATGATCAAGCGCGTCTGACGCGGGACTTGGTCTGTGGGTTGTTTTCAGATGATTTTAGATGACCCGTGGCGGGCGTGACGGCCGTGTTTTCAACGGCTTTCA